ACACCACCACCACCAATGGTTCACCTATGTGCCCCTCCCTGCTCCTCAATGACGTTTTGGCCATTTCAAACCAGATCCCTCCTTGTGCGTCTCCTTTCGCGAACATCTCATCCACTCCCTTACAATCAATAAAAGCAAAGCAAAGGAGAAGAACAGGTACACAGTCCCTAATGCCTCACGGGAATGACCACTAAAGCCATGTGTCTTAAGTAAATGACATTTTTAAAAAAAGCACCTGAAGGCTAGGCTATTTAAGAAGGCATTTTGCTAATTTGTCATCATTGATCAAGCATTTCAGGTGTTATTTTGCCCTGTCATCCTGCTTGCCCCAATTTACTTTTACTCATTTGTTGTACACAAATACTCCTGGAATGCCTTTCGTGACTATTGCCAAGAAAAAGCCATATCACTTAAAACTGAGGGGAAAACTGCTGAAGAAGCATATTTACTAACATGTAGCTTCTTGGCTAATCAAACGCACTATGTCCACTGTGCGAGATCACCTGCATTTTAAACTTGTGCAGCTATTCAAATTAGAATGAAAGCCGAAGATGTTTATTGATTGGTCTTTTTCCACAGAAACTCTATTTTAGTACGCTTAGTACTAAAGTGCTGTCATACTATGCTAGTACATTTTTATTACAGCATTCCTAACATAACATTATATTCCGAAATAACTCCTTCAATGACTTCCTTCATAATTCTAATTGGCTAAAACTGCCATGGGGTTTGGGGTAATACACGGTTTCTACAAGTAAGGGCAAAAGTCAAAGTCAAGACTTTTCAATGCTTTTTAATTTCAATTTGAAATTTAATTAAAGACCAACTTCCGAATGTTCCCAATGTCCCATGCTGTACACAGTTGTTTGAGTTGTCCATCTACTCTTAAAAGTCCCGCGCAAAAGCACATCATTATGTTGGTCCCACTTTCATGATTGCGTCATTTTACCGTGAGTCATTTTGTATTTTTTTTTTTTTTTTTGTGGATGTTAATTTATTTTAAGATTTGAGACGATTTAAAATAATAAAATCCTACTTATCGGTCGTGAACGTTTGGTAAGACTTTTTGAAAGCGTATTTTAAGACATTTTAATGTAGATGAAGGCCTTGTTTTAGATTCAGTGTTTTTCACGACTTATCAAGCATTTGTAAGAACCCTGTTATAGCTCTGGCTTTGGCACGTATCTGGCACCCTGTAACTATACGTTCACATGGGCAGATTTGTAGGGAATCGAGTAGTTTTTACAACATAACAACAAGGGGACATCTCAAGATTGGGAACATTTGGCCTAGTAATGTAATACTGTATATGACTTTGCCAAAAAGGCGGCAGTACAGGTGAGTGCATGTTACAGCTTGTCAACTGACATCCTGGTAGACCGTGTCACTATCTTCACGGGCTAACATTTCTATTAGGGCTTAGTGCATTTTTAAATGGCTGGTCCAGTTTGTATGGAGCAGTGATTCCCAACTAGAGTGTGATGCAAGATCATCGGGTGGATCGCTGGAAATGGTTCAATTTCACTTCATAGCTCTGAAAATGTACTTGATTAATCTGCCAATGCAGCGACCTATGAGTGGCATGCAGAATATATAAAATGCTCTTCCACTAGACGTGAATTCAAGTGCATTGCATATTCACTCTTCACTGCGAGATTTTATTTATTTTTTTAAACTAATGTCAAATATGCGCCTTGGGTCAATAAAGGTTGAGAAAGACTGGTTTCGATTCCTATCGAAACCAGTCTTTCTCAGTACGTCAGTATGAAGCATGAAGGAAGCAGGTAAAAGGTTGGGGGCTTACGTCGCTAAACTACAAGTAACTCGGGGAACATGGCTGGAAATGTACAATGCACCTGCCAGGCTTATACTGAAGATTTTTTTTTTTCTGATGTCAGCCAAGCTCGCGCTAAAGAGACAGCTGCTGCTTACCTGAAGCTCCCCTGTGTCGTTGTCGCTGTCTCGGTCCAACTCTCCGATGTAGTATTGTTCCATCCACCGTCGGGCGTTTTCCGAGTGTCGATGCGGGGGTCCCTCCAACTCCCTGCTCACGTCTTTCCCCGACCTGCTAAGTATCAGCGCTTCCCCTCCCGGGTGCATCCGCAAGAAGGCGGTCACGTCGAAAACCCGGGATCCGAGTAGCACCCAACATGAGTCCTTAGTGCAGTGGCGGGTCACCTCCCTCTCCGTGAAGAACCGGGGGGATGTGGAAGGAGACATGCTGCCACTGCGGATGCAGAATCCACCTGTACCGAGAGGAAAAAAAAACTTTGGGGAGTATGAAGAGCGGGGGAAAAAAGACCTTCACTTCTGACCGAAGGCCTGTTGTTTGGAGAGTTCAACTTGGCAGTTAACACCCAGACGCTAGAAGACGAAAAGTACACAGAGGGAGGACAAAGTTGAGAGGCGGGGTCTGGGAGGCGTTCATCGACTCCGACAAATGCAAATTCAATCCATAGTTCAACGGAAAATGCGCGCCTTGTCAACTTACATCCACTTACAGATCGGAACAATCGGTTAATGTTCTCCATTTAACTTTTTTTTTGGAGGCGGGTTGTTTTTTATACTGCTTTCACCAGGCATTAAAGGTAACAAATGAGTCTTTACGTAATGCAATTTTTTTATATTTTGATTTTGATTTCCCATTGTTCTTGAATGCATCATGACTTCTAACCGCACCTGTTGCTCAGGAGGCAGCCAGTGAGCCACACAGCAGCTCGTCGGGTTTGACGGGAAGCACTAAACGTCGATTGATGTCGTCATATTGACGCTATTGTGCTGTTCTTTAAAAGTGAACGAGACTTTTGGAAATTCCAGTCAGATTTTTACATATGTCTAACGAACCTGAAAGCTGTCTTTTCCCCAATATCACCCTAGGCCTAATAATAGACGTGCCAATAAAAATGCTGCACTCCTGTGAATCGTTATGTTTCATTGAAATACACTGAAATTTTGATCCATTTTGAAAGTACAGGTATGATAAGCAATGGTTAAATTGTGAGCTTGCACCGTAAGCAAACTGTGTATTTGGGCAAATTATTAATTTTTTGTAAACAATGGGCGAATTTTACGGAACCTCTAAGGTGGCATGAAAGAAAAGAAAACTTGTGCGTTCCCTCGCAATGTCACACTAGGAGCTCTGTAGATTTTTTTTTACACATCTGTCAATTCCATCTTCACCCAACAAGTGGATGCTGACTTGCTGTCTCTGTGGGAATTACCGGTAGCCGTTTCCATTAATACTCTGTGTAGAAGACTTTTCAATCTTAAAATACACTCCTGTTTGTAATAAATGGAAAGAATATATTGGGTTTTTCTAGGGAGGGGGGACGCTTCATATCTGCAGATGATTTTGGGACCCGTAATTGGTTCAACAGCGCCTCCTGGCGAATGTGGGCGAATGTGCTATACGCAGTTCGTTAAGGGGTATGAAGAAAATTATGATGAAGAGGTTGGAATGTTCGATCCCACTTTTTTTCAGACCGATGCCAATATGAGGGCCATGCCCAACCCTTGAGTATTGACTCATACCAATACCAAGTAACCGATACCACAAATATTTTTCCTCCATCCATCCATACATACATCCGTCCATTCATCCATCTGTCCAGCCATCCATTATCCATACCGCTTATCCTCACGAGGGTTTGTAATTTGTAATAAATTAACAAAAATTAAACTAAAATTACCTAAAATAAAATGGAGAACTCCCAGAGTTTTGGTCTTGTTCAAAATACTGCGGGAACTCCGATGTCCTCCCACATTCTCAAAACATGCATGGCAGGTTAATGGAACATTTTAAATTGTGGTGTGAGTGTGAGCTCGAATGGTTGTATGTCTTGTTGTGCCCTGCGATTGACTGGCAACCCGTACAGGGTGTACTCCGCCTACTGCCCAAAGACACCTGGGAAGACAGCTTCACACAACCCTTGTGAAGATAAGCGGATTAGAAAATGGATGGATGGATGGATGGATGAATGTTTCCTCATGTGGGGCCTCCGTGCTGGGAGGTGTGGCAGCTGTCATTCTTATCAGTGTGGATGCACTCCCCTTGGGTGCTCTTTACCTTATAAGGCAACCTGCCTCAACTGGCGGACCGCGATCCACTACCGGACCGCCGACCTCCTCTGTCCGGACCTCCTCTGTCCGGAGCCTCGGCAAATTGTATAAAATAATAATTTATAAAGTGATTTTTACGTTATACATTTTATATTTGTGGACTATAATCTGCGCATTACCGCAATCGCTTGTTCAGCCCAGGAGAGCCGCACACAGACAATTAGACAAGACGAATCGCGGGAGGTTTCGATTGTGTGCAGTTTTGCTCCCGTCTACCCGGGGATCTTTGCAGCTGTTTCACAGCAGAACACGGCAACATGGTAAATGAACATCACAATGGCGTCCTCAAATAACATTTGCGAGCACATTCCTGTGCTCCCTTGTGTCAGTATTTAAAATGGTTCTTAACCCCTCTTCTGATATATTTTTCAGTGATTTCAGAGGGGATGTGAAAAGGGGAATTGTACAAATGAAAAGGATATTTTTGTTTTCATGTTTAGTATTTTATTTTGGTAAAATGAGTATTTTGTTAAATTGTTTTGTTAAATTAAGTTATTTGCTGTGTACTGGCAAAGTGAATGATTGTTATTTTCATGCACCCCATTATTGGTTGGTTGTGAGGAGTGTTGATTTGTATAAGCTTGGCTTGACCATACTAAATGGGCATATAGCCCTGCTCCCCATGACCGCCGTGCATGGGACCTTGGTCTCATTAAAAAAAAAAAAAAGAAGTGGACCTACAGCATTTCTAGTTGAGGACCACTGTTATAAGGTTTCTCTATGCTTTGCCATGCCTTTTTAAATATAGTTCATCAGAGAATGTGTACATTGTGTGTGTGTGTGTGTGTGTGTGTGTGTGTGTGTGTGTGTGTGTGTATGTTGGGGCTAGGAGGGTCCTCTTTTTATGATGTAATTCTGACCTTTTGATTGCACTGCCTTCAGTTGCATTTTTATGTATGTAAATTGCTAAATAATTAAACTTTGACTGATTGATAATATAAAATATACAACAACAAACACATAACATATAATGTCATCAGATATAATAACAATCAAAAACGGTGAGTTCTTTTTAGAAGAGGCCCACATGCTGCTCAAGTGGTCCTTGGGGGCTACCTGGCACCAGCGGGGACCATGTTGGTGGGTGACATCTAGTCTCGGGAGTCCGAGTTGGTCTTTCCTATCTCTGGGGTTGAGGTCACCGAGGTAATTAAAAAGTTCTCCTGTGTCTGGGCCCTGGAGGCCAATTAGAGCCACCAACAGACTGGGAATCAAGTCTCCATCATCACATTTGTTGATGGCATTTTCTCTCAGGTATGTGAACTAATAACATTTTTGGTTCGATTGTATTTGCTCGCCCGCTCATAGATTGCAGCATGTATTCCAATTCAGTGTCAAAAGTGAACTTCAATGTAATTCATTAAATAGTTGTCAATTTCAAGATAATATAGGCTGATAATAGGCAAATCACTTTGAAAGTGGCAATCATCAAACGGTTGTTAAAAACAATAATCATATATTTATGTGTAATGTCACATTTAGATTTCAGGTGAAGCAAGAGCAATGTCAATTTGAAAATAAATAATTAGTATTATGGATACTAACCCAAAAATATCCTGTGGTGTAGGGTGCGTCTTCCCCTACTAGGGGGTGTCGTCCCCAGGCCGTGAGGTAAGATGCCCCATTACAAGATAGATAGATAGACTGATAGATTGCTTTGCATTAAAATAGAAGCAACGTTAACAACCACAGCAGCAGTAGCACCGTCATTTACGTGAAATTCACTGGAGAACACAATCACAACACAGAGGTCTATTTACTGTGGCAGAGTATCAAGTGACCTAAGAACACCGCATCCACGTGAAAATGGCAGGAAAAATAGAGATATCAAAAAATGTCCTCGCTCGATGTCGGGTTGCAACGGGATCGTTATCTTGAAGAGCTTGTTAATGAGCTGATCATTCGAATCAAGTGTGTTGGAGGAGGGAAACGTCTGAAACGTGCAGGATGGTGTCCCTCGAGGACTGGAGTTTTGAGACGACCCATGATATCGAGATGGATAGAATTCATTGCAAAATGTGGATATGATCGCATTTTGTTTTCTGATCTTTCGGAATAAGATGATTATCTTTTTGTGTTAATGCAATAGTTTGTTGTGCCTGGCCAACGAAAAAAGACGTGACCAAGAACGCACCTCAGTGGGTTTGATCAGTGATCTTTTGATACAGACAATGTGTAACGCCCGGACGCATCACTTTGTTTAGAGATGACACCAGACACTGAGTGACGCTGGCTTCCCTCAACGCCATCCTCTGTGTTGTCCATCGCAGCTGTCCTCTTTCCTTCCATTCTGACATGCCTTCCCGTCTGTCATTTGCCATCTGCGGACAATCACCTTCCCCTTTCCTCCCAGCTATCCTTCTTTTACTTCATTCCCTAAATTACAGCTGCTTCTAAAAATACACCTCACCACAAAAGACCTCTTCATCACAGATTCCGTGTTCGTGGATGTAACCTGAAGCAACCCGAAGAGTGGACCGGTGTGTGTGTGTGTGTGTGTGTGTGTGTGTGTGTGTGTGTGTGTGTGTGTGTGTGTGTGTGTGATGTCACTGCGGTGATGACGGAGGTAGGCGGATTTTGGTTTCAAAGGGTGATTGGTCCATCTTATCTCCTGCTCAACTGTGTACTGTATCTATAAGAAGGCAGCCACCCCACACCGACGAGTGTATTTTATTTAATCAAGCCTTAACTCATCATCATGACTACTGTCGTCCATGTAAGTATGCGTGCATAAACTGTGTAGCATTTATCAGCAAGCGTAAAACTCTTCAATGATTAGTATTAGTGGGGATGCTTTTTTTTCTGTTTTGTGCTCAGTAAAATCAAAACAAATATAAGCGGGGATGCTTTCTTCTGTTTTGTGCTTGTTAAAATCAGAACAAATTGTTTTGATCTTTTGCAATCAAATGTACCATGGAACGTTTTCTCACACAGCTTTGCCGTGTGTGTAGTTGTCCTGGATGAATGTTTAAGCAATTGTTAGTGAGCAACATGATCAAGTGTCAGTCCTGTAAAAGAGCAGAGGTTTAGGTTTCTGTTAGAGCAGATGATTAAGTCTAGTGCCATTCACACTAGCCATACAAAAGGGAAGGACATATGAGTGCATTTGATATACAGGACAGATTATATCACTCGTTTTAGAAGTGGTTTACTCAGTTACCACAAAATTAGGTAAAGAAATTAACAAAAAAAAAGTGATTCATTCTCAGTTTTGGATTGACACCAAATATGTTTTTCGTTTTGCAAGTCAAACTTGGCTTGG